ATATATATATATCACAAACTAGAAATTAAACTTAAAAATAACTATAAAATTATTCTTAGAGCTCATTTGGTCAATGTTAGATAGAAGACCTAGCCATTCAATTATCAGAAAAAAAATTAATTTTCTAAAATGAACGTCTTCATAATAATCAAACGGGTATAAGGTATTACATATCGCTGATCGAAATGCAAAATCTCTAACAATTAAATAATGAAGTTTTTGCATGTGAATCATCTACATAAACTTCATCGTCTAATTTTTGTCGATTCCAAAGCATTCACCAAAATCGTTGAGATGTACGATTGGATTCTTCAAACAATTACGCTTTCTAAAAATGTTTGTTAAGATTGAACGACAAAATTTTGGATTAATTGTCATTCAACTTGTAAGAATTGGGAGTACGGGTGTGGTCCCACGCAGATGAAGCGTACCATGACAGGGAAAATCCTGATAAAGCCCAAATGAGGTTCAATCCAAACACTACAAGAAAACACTTCAAATCCAACAAAAATTCTAACGGCAAAAATTTTCGTTAGAAATTCCAATGAATATTCCAACAAACTTAAATTTATGTTGGAATAAGTGTTGGATGGTTGAGGAATTCCAACGGATTTTTTCCATTGGAATAGTTGTAGGAATTTCTTTTCATAGGATTTTTCGTTGGATTTTAGCTATTCCAACGGCCGTTTTTCCCACGAATTTTTATACGTAGGATTATCCGTTGGAATATCTATTCCAACGGAAAATATAAAGAATTTCAACGAAATTTTTTTCTTAGAATGTAAGAGTTTTTTTTTGTAGTGAAAACCAATTGGTAGTAGGACGAGTAGCCCACTAGGCTTATAAGTTAGGTTTATTTTCCCTGTATAAACGATGTGTGACAACTTACAACTTGGAGGAGTGTTTTTGTAAAAGGAGGAGTGTTTTTGTAAAAGGAGGAGTGTTTTTGTAAAAATTCATAATGCCTAAAAAACCCTTACTTTGACATAAATTTAATGGCAAATTAGTAATACACTAATACACATCATATTTATTTATATTTTTAATTAAAAAATGAATTACCTAAAAAACCCTTACTTTCACATGTTTTTAATGGCAAATTGGTAATATACTAATGCCATCATATCTTATATCCTCCCTATATATAATTAAAAAAACATAACTTTTCTCAACTCAACATAAGCAAATCAATGAAAATAATATATTTTTAAAAATTTTATGAACAAAAGTTGACTCGACAATATTATTAATGAATTTATGAATTGTAAATATTTAATTAAAATATTAATTAGAAAATTGTAATTATATATAATAAAATATAGAATATACAAATATTTGATGTATAATGAGGCAGATGATCGAAAAAGTTCTATACTTTATATTATGTCTTTGACAAAT